CATGTTATGTAACAGAAGGAAACGAACTTTCCAATTCCTAGTTGGCATATTATGTAATACAGAAGGAAACATAAGCTATCAAGGCGAGTTTTTTGTGCACATTTGCAAACATCAATAGTGTTTTTGATTTTAAGATACAGGTAACTCAAATACGAAATGGCGTTGCGTACACCACGAAGGAGAAATTGAACGTCATCGCATTTGCTGAGGCTCATGGCAATCGAGCAGCTGGTCGTGAATTCAATATCAACGAGTCCAATATTATGAGTTGGCGCAGTGAGCGGGGTAGTCTCCTGGAGATGCCCAAGACCAAGTGTGCTATTCGTGGAAGAAAGGCCCTTTTCCCTGAGGTTGAAGCTGAGGTGCTGACTTTGATTGAAGACAAGGCCTCCCTGTGGCTTCCACTGAAGATCGTATTCAAGCCTTAAAGGTCCATAAGCAGCTGAAGTTAAAGACCCTTTCAGGGCTACGTCATCATGGTGTTATAAGCTCCTCAACCGTAACCACCTCTCACACAGAAGAAGAACCAACATTTCCCAGAAACTACCAAGTGACCCCGAAGAGAAGTTGTTGGAATTCCAGAAATTTATCATCAAACAACGAAAGAAGAACTTGATGCTGAGATTATTATTCGCAGTTTCAAGAAATGTTGCATATCGAACGCGATGGATGGCACAGAAGACGATCTTTTATTCGAAGACATGTGTGTGAGACTAAACAAGCGGATAGGATTAGAGAAGATAAAGAGAATGTAGTCAAAACGGAACAGAAATCAACAGGCAGATGTAATGGCTGTTTGGGACCGATATGACAGTGGATCTCAATGTTAAATGAGAAAGGACGCTTGGTTGCTGTTTAAATGAATGTGTATTTGGTCTCGTAATGATAGAGTTTAAATGTTCCTGTATTTTATTTGTATTAATGTTCCTGTGTTTTACCGGTATTGATGTTTATGTCGCTGGTGTTGTTCTTCCCGAATAAATGCTCTTCAAACCTGCAAAGCCGTTACGTCATTTTATGTTTTGTAATATATATATATATAAATATTGGTGCCGTGACCAAGGATATTTCCTGAAATCTAACTCGGAAAGAAGAACTACTTCAGCGCAGTATTCCTTGATCTATCCAAAGCCTTTGACTTAGTCTGGGTTGATGGTTTGCTTTTTAAACTTAATAAACTTGGCATCGGGGTCGCATGTTCAGGTGGATCCAAGACTTCTTAAGGGATCACCAGATACAAGTGAAAGTCGCCAATTCTCTCAGCGAGAAGCACTCCTTAGAGAATGGAACCCGCAAGGCTCTGTTATTAGCCCTACCCTCTTCAGCATTATGATCAACGATCTTGCCCTGGATTATGTAAAGCATAAGGAGCTCTCGGTTAGCACGGCCCTATATGCAGATGACACATATCGATTAACTCTTGTCGGAAATAACCAGAAGAATCGGAGTATTTCTTACGGGCAAGCGGTCATTGATCTATTGAGAGAGCACCAGCCCAGTTACGATGGCGCCTATCGGCTACTCTGTTTTGTAGTCAACACCCAGCTGATCCAGAGTACCAACAAGCTTACGCTCTTGATCCCGTGTACGCTGACCATTTGAATATCTACACCGATGGTTCCAAGAGTAAAATTGAGGTATAGGGTCGGCGTAGCGGAGCTTTTAAGTAGAACTTTTCTACAATGCCTAGAATTTCTTCTCTTCCATCGACGAGTAACTCAAAGAGCAGAAGTGATCGGATGAGGATCTTAATTTTAAAAGAAGATAAATGAGAGGCTGGATAAATGAATTGGTGATAGAATATCGATAAAAAGGTAAAATTTAGTCCAGGTTAAAGCCCACAATAGTTGTGACTGTCCGATGTAGTTCAGGTGCATCCATGTGGCTATATCTCCGTTCCTCGAAAGAGTTCACATTCACGTTCGAGACCACCCAGCGCAAATCGCTTTTTATCTTTAACAATCACCGGTTGTATTCTCGGAGATAATCCCATCCCCGAGGTCTACACAGTACGTTTATGTTTATGACGAGTATCGATCAAACGTCTCATCGCTCGCACATGGTACCGAATGAGAACTTGCGGCTTTTCCCCCGACGTGTATTAATAAATTACTATATTTGAATTAATTCTTTGTACAGAAACAACCTATGTTTATAATTCTATATAGAAATAATATGTAAATAATTATATATATATAAATATGCTATATGAATTAATGGTTGTATATACAATTGAATAATGTAAATATGTTTAAAATTCTATATAGAAAAAATATGTAAATAATTATATATATATAAATATGCTATATGAATTGATGGTTGTATATACAATTGAATAATGTAAATATATGATATGTTATGGCTGTTTGAATTATTAATTGTTTTTTATATATATAGGTCATTATATGAAGTAGAATAAGTAAAAATACTTGAGAATTTATGTTTTATTACTATAGATGTAATGATAATAAATATCACAGATAAGGCCGAGATGAGAATGGTTTTAGTAGCACCCCACCTGACTCGAGGACGCCAGGTCTCTGTGGCTGTAACTCTCCCGAATAAGTTCACATAATAATTATCTCTCGTTCTGGGCCACACTGAAAATCTTAGCAAATCTTCTTGTTGATTCTTATGTCTTGATTATCCCATCCCTGTGGCCTCGTACTTAATGATGAATATCGGTTTGAACCGGCGATGTGTTGTATAAAAAAATCTACAAAATCTGTGCGTCCACATAAACATTCGAGCAATAACTGACAGTCTCGAAATGTGATTTTTCTCTTTTCTTTTTTTTCTCTATTTTGATTTCAACTTCAAGGGAGAAAACTTGTACGAAAAAAACCAACCCTTGTCTCCTATTCTTACCGTGCTATTCATATGCATAATCATACCCATTGTACAAACCAAGCGTTTAATTTTCTCAAAGGACAAAGACCTTGCCCGAAGCTTATCGTCCTCATTTCATCGATAATTTTAAAGTACTATCTGACAGTTTAACCTGGTCACTCGGAGCAGCAATGAGTTGCGTTTGACAAAGATTTTTTTCTCTTGGTTTTCTTTTGTGTTGAATTTGTTTCCTATAAGAAATAAGGATTAAAATGCTTTGTTTTTCGAATATTGGCAATACTTACAATTACTGCAGGTTATTATAATCGATAATACATTGTATCAGATATAAGTGTTCGTTATCACCTAATCTACACATTACTTATATTGAG